AACTACTATAGGCTTTGTAGGTTCTTACTACTAATATTTGCTGCGTAAGTATAGTAGTAGTAGTGTAGTAGAGTAGAAACGATAGTTGTAGGCTAAATATAGAAGTAATAGACTAGCGCTACTAGCGTAGATTAAGCGAAGGACAGCTTATGTTGCACCCACTTTTTTCAGGGACAGCTTAGTCAAATCTCGAGGACAGCCGAGCTCTACCGTGCGAATACACTGACATCGATAAATCAGGGTAGATCGACGAGCAAGAGGACAAAAGCCACCGGGTGGCGTCCGAGGAGTAAGGGGTCCTCCAAAAGCATGGAAATTCTTTGAGACCGAGACCGCACAATGATCCTGTTTGTGCCATCTACGTGGAAAAAATGTACGACAACTGGGACGCCAACGGAGAGGCATATGCGATACCATAGACAATTGCAGTCTGATAGAGAATGACCATTAATTTCGAAAGCCAGGGAGTTGCAAATGAGCTACGTTCGCTACACTTGTGGACGGCTGGCTGTTCCGGGTATCTGAACGATACGCCATCAATGCGCTTGACGAAACTTTGCGACGCGTCGGGATCTGCACGCCCAGCGACGCGTACGCGGAAGCTCAACGTAACGATCGAGGCTTCCAGATTGTGAGAGGCGAGATTAGATCATTGGCGTGTACAACAGAACAGGCGGACAATATGGTGCGAGGATGAATGCAAGAGGGGTCAATGAGCAGACTTGAACAGTCGATGTTGCAGCGACAGTACCTAGGCAGGTGCAGAACACGCTAGGTCACATCACGTGACTCTGTCGTCATCGATCAATTTGGTGTGGCCCAGCGCAGCTGTGCCGCTTCTTACAGTGACACTCCTTCCGCAGCTTCAAGAGACCGACAACAGAGTTTGCATGCAAGGTCAACACACGAGTGCAACCTGCATTGGATCCAGAACACCCGCGTTGCACTGGACGTGAGAGGCAAGGCGTACGCAAGCCGTTCAGAGCTGTCGCAGAGTGGATACCTCCAGGGCTACTATCCATCACTGCAGATTCACCGCCTCCAACAGCCGTGTATAATTGAAAGTCTATTACTTTGAGTTTTGCTACTGCTGCTAGGTGCTTCGCAAGCCAGCTACAACACTCCTGGTCGTTACGCCATTACCTAGGTCTCCCGTTACGGAACGGCTCGGTTTCTCTCCGTTGGTACTTTTCCGAACCAATATGATAACGTTTCAATATACAGTGGATATTGCAACAGCGCAATGGGGTCATCGGCAACATCTTTGCGAAGCCAGCACTGTATGCCAGATTACTAAATGCCGCTGCTATGAGGTAGGTTACAGCATGCACATGAGTAATGTGCGTTTGCATTGCCACAACGCACACTAGCAATGCCCATCAAACCCGAGGGCTCCATTTGCTGCAACCCGATATCTTCAGGCCTCACTCAATTCGCCAAGGTGTCCCGCACGCAAGTTTTGCTCGCGCACCCACATGCATGACATGGCTAGGCTGATTCTCCTTCCCTTGTCTCACCGCAAGGTCGTGATTGGCGAGCAGCGGGATCGGGCCGTAACGACGACTCAGCAGTCGAGACCTCTCTGGCCAAAGACGATCAAGGGATGGCACTGGTCAGCAGCGCGCAGATATTGAAGAAAATCTTCGCAACACTTTGCATCCAATACCAAGAGTACGGAGCCGCGCAAACTCTAGCCCATGATGGGTCTCAGGATAAAGGGGAAGTCTGGTTTCAGTGGCTGTAATCTCTCCATATACTGAGCTATCTAAGGCGAAGACCTATACATGATCCAGGGTCCAAGAACTGTCGGACCAGCAGATACGCTAATTCGCCGGCATTCAACGGCGAGTCTATCGGGGAAGCTGGGTTGCCGCAGGCATCGTGTTCGGCCCTGTAAGCCCGGAATGCTCTGATGCAACGACGTTCGACTCCGGTATAGTGATCAAGTACGAAGGAGGCAGGCCAGATTAGGCATGGACGCTATTTCTCGACGTCGTTCGCGGTGCCCATCACTCCTTCTAGACTTTTCTCGGTGCTTTCCCACTCCCTCCTCACAGCGTCCAACACCCATGGTCCTCGAGGCTTCAGACGGAACCTGAACGGCCTTGGCTCAGTCATGAATCCAACGACTATCATTTGCCATGGATCCACCTCTTCCCCCTGTATGGCTTCCACATCAAACGCCCATAGCAGATTTGCGATATTCATGAATGTTCCGTCAGTAGCGACACGCTTTCCTTGACATATCCTTCGACCTTGGCCAAACACAGGGAGTGGCAGATCACCGCGGACCTTCCCATCACGCAGCCAGCGCTCAGGAACAAAATCCTGCGCATCACCAAGCGAAGGGTCGAAGACTGCCTCGTCGCGGCCGATGGCCCACGCGTTCGCCATGATGGTCACACCCTTGGCGAATTTCACGCCAGCGAACTCATCCGCGCGATCAGCACGGCGCGGAATAGAACCAGGAGATATGGGTCGCCATCTGAATAGTTCATGTGCTATAGCGTCAACGTAGGCGAGGTTGTGTCGATCCGAGAATGTGGGAAGACGCTCTCTGCCAACGACTTTGTCTAGTACTTCATGCGCACGGGTCATGATCTCAGGATTGTGCATTGCTGCGACGAAGAGCCAGAGAATCTGACGAGGGGACGTTTCCATACCACCCTGAATAGATGTCGCGAGTGTGAAGGCAAGGTCAAGATCGGATACTGGCGAGTCGGTGGGAGCATATTTCGGTGCAGATGCGATTGCTTGCTTTGTCGCGTTCCAGCCTGGCGCATCTCTGCCATGGCAGAAGAGGCGCATGTAGAGCTTAACCTGAGCCGCGTAAAGCTTGTCAGCATACTGCTGCCACGGGGAGACGAAAGTAGGCAAGTGTCGGAGGACTGGCATGAGATCCGGGAGCTGCGGATTCGCGGCCAGATGTGTGACCTTTGCTTGAATTGCAATTACTTCATGCAGGATTGGCTCTTCGAACTTGGGTATGCGGAGACCGTAATGGAGGGCAAGGATGACACTGGACTGTGTCCGCTCGAGCAGAGGATATATCGTCTTCGTGGTGATCGTGGAACCATCTTTGGACTTCTCCAAGGTAGCGATGAGATCGAAGAGCAGTTGCTTAGCTTCGAGTTCCATGAGCGGCTGATACTTGCTTGCCGCCGGCGCACCAAGACTTGGCGAAAGAATGCGGTGGTGCAGTTTAAGGTGGTCGTCATAGTCGTGCATCAGCGTAAATCGAGAGCGACCTGGCCCAGCCCCGGTGATCATCTCCATGCTCACTGAGGCCGGTCGGTTGCTATACCATTGGCTACGACGACTGAAGAGTTCAGTGACGGCCTCGTACGAGTTGAGCACGACAATGGGCACAATTCCAAACAGCTTGGGAACCGTAATCGGGCCGTGTTGTTTCGACCAGGCGCTCCAGTTTACCAGTGGTTTCTCGATTGGCGAGCTGTGGAGATCACCAATGAGCGGCAGCTTGAGGAGGGGCTTCTCGGATGCATCTTTGCTCTTGTTGGTGTAAAGGTAAAGTGCGGTCAGGGCACTCACGGCCAGAAGGACGGTCACGACAAGGCTGAACATGGCTGGAGGAGCAACCCACGAAAGCTGTGGGCGACACAACCACTTGTAGGTGTCCAGAATGGCGGATACGTGCATGCACGGCATTACTCAAGTGGATTGTTCCTGGAGCCATCCACAGAACGGGTTAGCCCAGCCGGTACTTGGCAGCAACGGCCACCTTTCGCGTATGAAGCCCCGAAATCGTGATAACAGCTTGTTCGGATCTGGACGGCAGTGTCTCGGCGCCATGCCCTCGTATTGCGCGTGATGGGCTCTTCTTCTTGCGACTAGACTCCCATCACAGATGCCGCCATCACTGACGTGATCGAAATCGGAAGACCCGAAACGTTCCCCGGACAGCATCGCATTACACATCAACCAAGCTCTACGTGCGCGCGTGGGCTGAGAGGCTCTGATATAGATCTGCTCGGGTATGCATAGCGAAACCGTTCGCGTCGCGGCACACGCTTTATCCGGTCTTTACACGGTAGCCCGCCCTCCGCAGGGCCTGAAGCGTAGTGGGCAGGCTCGGATGGGAGAACGCGCATGCGCAGGTCTTGTACAAGAGGAAAGGCAGGTCACGCGTCCTATCAGCAACGAGAATACGACACCGCACAGAATATGCCACGAAGCCTAGCCGGATGGGGCCGCTGTCACGGTTTTAGTGCCGTGGGCCTAGTCGGGGTGAACGCCTGAGCCGGCACGTCGGGTGAGGAACGGCTCTTCAGGCCTGCGAAGGATTTCTTGTTGGAATCCTAAGCCAAGGGGTATCTTGATCAGCGCAGGAAAAGACATGGGGTGCGCAAACAGAAATGCAAGGCTTCGCACGGGGAAGTCGGCAGCTCATATGCCCAGCTACCCCCCAAGATCGATCTTCCCGCAGTGGACCAGCTTGTTTATACACCTCCGAGCCCGCAACGATACAGACGTCGGCGCATGAGTTGCACAGCAGAGTATTGCATCGGGATCTGCACAACAACATGACCATCACATTCCCTATTCGAACTCATGACCAGAGAGCAGTACTGGGTGTCGCATTCAGCTTCTCAATTCTTGCTGCACTGGCCGTCACCCTACGACTGATCGCTCACGCGATAGCTCACAAAAGATGGACAATTGCCGACTACTTCATCATTGCCGCCTGTGTAGGAAATCCAGCTCCGTATATCGCCAACAGTACTAACACTTTGCAGATTTTCGCTGTCGGCTTGCAGTCTATCAGCATTACCGGAGTCTTTCATGCCGGCATTGGCTACGATCACGTCCAGAACATCGTAATAGCGTACGGCCTCGAACCTATCACCAAGCTATCGCAGCTCATCATACCCCTGCAGTTTCTGTGGGTTCTGAGTCTTAGCTGTACCAAGATTTCGATTCTGTCTCTGTATATTCTGATCTTTCCGATCCGATGGGTGGTCTGGAGCTCCTACGTGACCATGGTCATCATCGTTGCTTGGACAATCGCAACCATCCTCGCTGGCTGTCTGATTTGCCGGCCTTTCGCCTACAATTGGGATAAATCGATCCCTGGAGGAAGCTGTGGCGATCAAGTCACCTCATTCACGATTACCGGAGTCATCAACTTGGTCACCGACGTCATGGTGCTTCTTCTGCCCATGCGTCCGTTGTATCAACTGCAAATGGCGACGTACAAAAGAGTGACTCTCGTAGCCGTTTTTGGCCTGGGTACTTTGTGAGTCGAAATGAGATCCTGCAGTCAGCTCTGATCTAACCGGAGCAGTACCTGTATCGTCAGCGCCTTCCGCATCTCCGTCCTATCCAGCATGGACTTTACCGATATCACCTATACGATCCCCAAAGCCAACATCTTCAGTGGCCTAGAGCCATGCCTCGCCGTAGTCCTCGCATGCGTGCCTCTGATGCATCCACTTCTTGGTCGCTCCGCAGCAACACCTCACGCGTCGGGGAAAAAGAAGTCCTCGAATGCTGAGTCTAAGTCCAGTGGGCCGAAAGCTGTCAGCGATGACGGGTTCGAGCGGCTAGACGATGATACGAGTCACCTGTGGCTTAAACCGATGGGGCTACAGCATCGCGCTGATGAATCGGATTTGCAGGAGACTATAACAGGAGATGCAAGCGAAGGAGATCAGGAGTCTCTTCATAGACATCGGGGGAATATCGGTATAGCTACTTGAGCTGTTGGTTCTCTTAGATCCTAGTAACGATCACACGACTTGAGGAATAATCATAAACGAGTCCCGCTGTTCACCGCTACCACCTGTTAATGTCACCAAGCGTTCTTGCCAGTAGATGGTGCGAACTTGAGTCTGGAGACAGTCGCAAAAGTTGACCCAACGCTTGACAGGAACTTTCGGGGGTATCTGGACAGTGGGCTGCGCAGATACGATGTTATCATGCTGACGACAAGGCTCAGGAAACCGGCTCTATACACCGCTCCGGCCACAGCATCTCATAGGTCCAGTAGAGATCAGCCTTTGCAAGGGAAAGTAGAGAACGCCGAGAGGAAGCGACGGGCGTGAAGATCTTGGCGGCATCATGGCCCGTGCTTGCCACCCGTCCCCGCTTTTTTGTCGCGCGTCATTCACGCGTCGGACATTCCTGCCTTCATGCCATCAACCTCACTATCCGACAGCATTACTTCTGCTTTCTGACATCGACGAGTATCTTGATGTGTTTATCCTTCTCGTGTAGCAGCGCGAGAATGCCATCTTCTACTACTCTATCCATCGAGATTGTACGCGGGATCATCTTCTCCGCATCGATGGTTCCTTTATCCAGCGCGTCAATAACTCGCTCGAAATCCTCACTGGTGTAGCTCAGCGCTCGGAACAAGTCAGCAAGGCTTCGAATCAGCGCAATGGTTTCGCGTGATGGCTTACCTGTGACCAGCCTCTTTTCCCCAACCAACAGATTGTCCGGGTTGAAGGGGATCTCTTTGCCCCACTGGGCAACATTCACCACCGTTCCCCTGCTTCGAACTGATAGACACGCGGACTTGATACTGGCAGCTACTCCGGCGCAGTCAAAAGCAACGTCAGGGCCTTGGTCATTGCAAAGCGTCTTACATCTAGAGACCATATCTTCGTCCGTCGGATCGATTGCCGCCGTAGCTCCAGAACGTAGAGCTAAATCCCTTCGATTCTGAGCAACTTCGGCAACTATCACCTGGGCAGTATCCAAGGCTTTCAGGCATTGGAGAATGGCCAAACCAATTGGGCCGGCGCCGATAACCAGGATGTTGTCCCCTGCTATGGCGACCGACTGTTCAACTGCATGCCACGCAACTGCAAGCGGTTCGACCAAACCTACGTCAATCTGTCAGTATTCTTCCCTACTTCAAGTGAGCTTCCCGACTGTCTTACCTCCGATTTCTGACGTTATCTTCTCAGGCAGTTTGAACACGAATTGCGCATCTAAACACACCCGATCCGATAATCCACCTCCCCAAGCCATGATTCCCACGAACCCAAACGAATCGCAACAATTGGTAAAGCCGCCCTTGCACGAAACGCATTGCTTGCAGCCAATGGTCGGCTGGACGGCTACTCTGTCTCCAACCTGGAGACCTTTGCGCACCTCCGCTCCGACCTCGACGATGTCTCCAGAAAACTCATGCCCGAGAGTTACAGGCCATGTCTTGCCGGTGATCGGATGAGGCGTGTCTTTGAAAGGAAGAGCATCCGGTATGCAGTAGAAGTGCAGGTCGGATCTGCAGATCCCACAAAATGAAGGTCGAATCTTCACTTGGTGGGCATCACATACCGGCTCTGGAACGTCGTGTTCCAGACGCATGTCCTCGGCCCCATAGTAGCGAAGAGCCCGCATATTGGTTGTTCGAATGGGTAGGACGAAGCAGTCAGAGGTGGTTCAAATTCGTGGTTTGGTATCGATTACAGACAAGTGGACGGATTGCACGAAAGCAGTTGTAAGGTCATAACCGAATGTACATGCTGATCTTGTAGCTTTATATGGAGGCTGGCATGAGAAGGAAAGAGGGGTACCAGCCGACGTCACGCAAGATGCGTGTCAGCCCTAGAGACTCATGCGCAAACGGCGCCAATGCCTGACACGTCATAATCACTGCGTATTACACCAAGCGGAAGAAAGTTGCGTCGTAGAACTGATGTTATCCCATTTCGACTGTGTATTGACTTTCCATCTTAGGGAGACGGTATCTCTCAAGGCGAATTTACATCTTGACTATCTCCGCCTTCACATGAATTCCTAACGAGGCGGCAATCAGGTATAATCTCAGATCACTTACACATCAAATTCCGACAAGCAGATCAACTTCTGTCTTGATCACACTGCGCCCCCGGACCTTCGAAATAAGCTAACACAGCATCGATATCCCCGACCGTGAACTCACGGCCATCAGGATACGCATGAGTCCGTGCCCATCGCGCCGCACGAGCGAGCTCGCCCCAATCCTTCGGATCTTGCGCCTCCGGACAATCCAGCAAAGGCATGCTAGGATGATAATTAAATCGGGGTACGAGCGACGTCGACGCCAATCGTTCCACGTCGCTGTAATCAAAGGTCTGGTTTGCTGCCATGAGTGCATCCATTTGCCCTGCTGCTTCCTGGGGATTTAGGTACAACCAAGAGTCGGGTAAAGCGTTGTCGTCTTGTACATAGCCTTCGGGTATGCAAATATCGGGGATGGCGGGCAAGTCCACATGGGCTGGCTGAGAAGCCTGGTATACGAGCTCTGATGCTACTGCTGCAGCGACCTCTTGCGACCTCGATCGTACTGGGTGCGCTTGGTGTGGGTGGCTATAGCTGTGCTCATTGAAGTTCAACCCATTGTACTCTTGGGGATGTGACTGCATCTGTGGAGGCCACTGGGGTAGATCTTGGGAGTTGGCTCCCATCGCCGGTGGATGCTGCACAGCATTCGGCATTAAGACGCCCATTCCCGTCGGAGGCATGCTGCTGTACCCTTCATCCCAGGACGAGAAGTCGACCGTCGGCTGCATTTGCTGTTGAGCCAGTGGATCCATCGGAAAGGCTCCAAGCGCCGAAGGCTGACCAGGGTAGAAATAAGGAACGGACTGAGCAGCCTCCTCCTCGGCAGCCTGTCGCTGGCGCCGCTGTTCATTCAGCTGCTTACGACGCTCACTTTCTGCCACTCGAACCGCTTCGGAGTACCGACTTATGACAGCCTCATCGTAACGGTCTCGGGTAGTTTCAGTGGGACCCATGCAGCTGAGAATAAGCTGGATATCATCCGGGAACATAAAGTCCGTCAGCTGGCCGTGCTCATCAAGCTTCTGGTACTGCAGCGCGAATACCAATGCGCGAGTAAGATCACCCACGTCGTCATCCACGGGCAGACTCTTCAGACCGATCGCTAAGTTCTTGAATGGTATTGACGGCGGTGGAACATAATCAGCTTTCTTTGCAGCTTCCGGAAGGAAATTGTTGATGCACATCACCGACTTATCCCAGTTACCTGGGACGTGATGCTTCGCTTTGGTCCAGGTTGGCTCGATTCTGCGCATCGTCTTTCGATATGTGTCCGAGATATGGTCGCGGGCGCGCTCTCCTTCCTCGGAACTGGTCAAGCCAAGGTAACGATGCTTGTCCAGAATTGCAAAGTGAACTGCAGCAGTGATGCCGTTGCACAACATGCGCCATGCGACAGCAGGATTGCGGAACCATTGCGGGAGTATTACAATCAGATCCACGAGAGTTGCGTTAATTGGTCTATCGCAACGTAGCTTATACTCGTGGGCCGGAATGTCAATCAGGAATTGAGCGCGAGGCTTTCCTCTCGCAGGAGCTTTCGGCACTGCGGTGTCATCGCCCTTCTTTCTAGGGAGTTGATGTGGCGCAGGCGAACCTCCAGGGCCCGCTTGCATTGGGTTTCCGTGTGGTGATGGCGTGTAGCGTGGATCAGGCTCTGTGAAACTCATACTATCCTCGGGATAGTTACAGTCGATTCTAGTAGATTCTAGCGAGAGTGGTGGTAAGTTGCGAGGTGGTGGGTCTGTGCCAAGGGCAGAGTAGAGCGGTTGATATACTTGAGGCGCAACAGCAAGCAGAGTGAATACGAAGAGAGTAAACTAACTTTCACTGACCGTTGCGGTGAAGCCTATTCTACCATGGCTTCGTATCCCTTAGTATGTTCGATAAGAGAGTTTCATTTCTGCGCCGAAAGTCGTCGCCTTGACATCATTGAAGAACGAGGGCATTCTGAAGGAAGTGAATATGATCTGGCTTTCATGCTGATCTCGTACAATATCTCCAAGACTTTCTGAATGTGCCATGATTAAAGGCGTACCAATGCTGGACTCAGAGGACTAGCAGCTTCAAAAGCCCTTTGAGCTCGGAAGATATCCCGGCGGATAGTTCCAAACTTCCTTGATGCCAGCATAACTCGGGAAGTTTCCACCTTCAACAGGATTATCTTGAGTCAAATCGATAACCTCCGCAGTCGTAGCTGCCAGCTTCACCTTCTTGCGTCTCTTATCTTGCTCGAATCTGCTGTTTCCCAAGAGCCGCTCCTTTTTCCTAATCCTTCTCTCTTTTGCCAGACGTTGAGAAAGCACGCCTTCTGGCTCGTGGTACTGATCCCAGTGGCACAGATGGACTAAATCCGTTTCCCACGTGTGACTCATTAGATCGACGTTCGCAGGCCGGTTGAGAAGGAGCAGAGGTCGAGATGGGCCAAAGTTTTCTGGCACGACTTCCCACTCGTTACGCCAGACTCTCGTGGTGACAGCATCTTCGTACGCCGCAGCCTGCGAACTCATCGCAACATTCTCATGAAAGTAGGGCGCCAGCGGAATTCGTCTTTGTTGTATAGGGATGATCGGCGCTATATGAGGTGGATCGGGTGGCGGGGTGCCGTGAAAGTAGCCGTGAAAATGAGTCTTCTGCTGGTAGCTGGGCAGTGCGTGTGCGTCTTCTGTTCTCTTCGAGTTGCGGAAACCGTAGTTGCGTGGGTTCCCAACGCGCTGTGAGTGTAGATGAGCTGGAGCCATAGTGAGGCGGCCGGGCGGTTGGTGATAGTGGCTCTTTTGCGCAATGTGTAGTGTCGTGGGTGTCGTGGGAGTTGTCGGAGTGTAGCTTTTGACTGTCTGGTTGAGTTGTAATCCAAGGCTCGCATTGAGGTCTTGAACCCTCGGGGTGGTGATGTAAAGCCACAAAGCTATTGTTCGCCGAGCTATACGATGATCCTCTCACGTCCTCCGTTTTCACCATGGTGAGAATGACCTCAATAGGCAGTGGTGGACGTGAGAGACAAACGGGAGAGTTGCCCCATTGTGCGACGACGTGGAATTAAAAGAGTGATGTTACCTAGGCAGAAAGGGTTTGTATCCCTGTAAGGACCTTCTAAACGCGCGTGTTGATCGAGTGCTTCCATGGTTCACAGTAGTGGCTGTGGGTGGTGACTTGCTCTTCGGGCAATCAGGTGGGCGCTATCGCCGAAAGCGGGCCCGGGCATCGTCGGCAGCGCCGTGCCTACCGCCGCAAAATAAACCGCGCATTACAAGCGAGAAACTCGATTAGGAGAGCGCAACATGAGAGGGAGGAAGCAGGAAGAAATCCGCAAGGCAGCTGATATTGGGGGTCACGTTGGGGTTAGTAAGCGGGGGTGGCGGGCGCGGGCCCGGAGACAGCAGGGGCAATTCACATCGCGGCTGCATGAGTGGACTGCAGGGCTGTAGGCCAGCTACGAACCAGCGCTAGCCTTCACAATGTATGTAATGCACGATTTTCGCCCCACAAGATCTTCGGTTCAGTGGTGTGTTTCATATTTTTGCTTTTCTAAGATGTGAGACGAAGCTGTAAATTACTTGTCCATCCTGGGGGGCCAAAGACGCGAAAGTGCCCTTCTGGATCGGTAACTTGGTAGACAAAGCCTACAGGCCACTGACACTTCGTAGAATATCGCCCAATCCTTATACCCTCACCTTCCGATTGTAGACACACTCTGCGTATGGTATCCAGCCAAAGACGTCGTCGTCGTTAACAGAGAAACACCGCCATGACGAGATCCAATCCACCGCCGTATCCAAGAAGATCAGTGACGATCACGCGCGCTACCATTCTAGGAGGCCACTGACGAGCTCTCCTTGATCCAGGACCAAGTCTCATCCACATCCATAGGATCCGAATGGACGGAACCCCCAGACTTGCTCTTGGCTTTCTTGGTCTTGACCGTACGCGGAGATGAAGAGATAGCTCTGGTATTCTTGGGGGCCGGAATGTAGGAGTATCGGGAGGCATGTACCCTCGCAGCTCTAGCTACTTCTTGCGCGTCCTTGACGACCTGTCGGGCCCTGTGCAGCTCGTCCCTGGCGGCACGCGCAGCCTTCTGGATTCGCTTCTTCTCTCTGGCGTCACGTCGCTGCCTACGCGTGAGCCTGGCATACTCGTCGGCTGGCGTAGTTACTGGGCGCGGAGACTGCGGGACGTTGACGGCTGGGGGAAGCATGGTCGTGACTGTGCGGAGTTAGTGCAAGATCAGTGGATATTTAAGTGAAATCTACCTGGAGCATTCGGACGCTCTGAACCGGTGAGTGGAACGTCAGAGACCCCAAAATGTTGGCCATACCCATGAAACCTATTGCGATGTCTCAGAAACGCTATGACAGCTTCGCTGCCGCCAGTCCTTGTCTCTACAGTACTGAGCGTACCAACCGAACCGTAAGCCATGATGCCGACAGCTCGTCGCTGGTACTTCCGTAATGGTGTTGTCTGCTTGCAAGGCGAGGTGGATTGAAGTAGTAGAGATAAGTCAGTGGTGTTGTTGTGTGAGACTCAGTTTGGCTCTGTGGATAGGACAAAAGTGAGCGTGGAGTGCAGTATCGCCAAGGCAACGACTTAGCGCGCGCACCCTCACCGTCTCAGCAATCAATTGGCGTGCTACCGTATCTGCAAACTGGGCCAGTTAAATTAGCACAAATGGGAAAGGTGGTGAGGTCATAGAACATATTCGTCTTCGAAGACAGTACCCTGCTTTCACCGTGATCATCTACTATCAGTAGTGCGCGGATGAGAAGAACGATATTCATTCAACGAAGGCAAGCATATTTCGCACGAATATAGCCTTATTTACTCTATGTATGTAGACCATATGGTGCCACAACAGGAGGCAGGCCTAGAAGGATGCACTGTCGCAAAGAAAAGACATGTTACATTCCATTGTAATGTCGCCGACGTGAATCGCTCTCAATTCACCAATCAAAGTCCTCGTCATCTTCTCCCATATCGCTGTCCTCATCCTTGACAACGTTGTCTACACCCGTATTTCCCGTTCGGCCCACCATACGCATCTCCGCCGGAGTGAGAATCCGCCTGTTCGAAGCCGGAGTGTGTTCCACTTCAGTCTCATCCTCTTCGTCATCCTCTTCTTCCTCGCCATCTAAGGCGTTCTCGAAGTTATATGAGCCACCGAAGCGCTGGCCGCGAGGAGACGATCGTGTGCTAACTTTGGCCTTCTTCGTCCGCTTCTTGGGTCCGGCATAAGCGTCAGAATCAGAATCAGAGTCGAGCGCTTCTGGCAGCACCTCTTTGCTAAGGCGTGATGACGACCGGGTTCTCGGTGAGCGACGTGCAGGTGTCCGCGGCGACGTCTTTTTGCTGCGCTTGGACTTTTGCTTGGTTGAGGTGTCTTCGTCTTCATTGAAAGTACGCTTGCGTTTCGATGACTTACGGGTACGCGGCGTGAGTTCATCTTCGTCCGATGTGTCATCTTTCATGACGTTCTTACGCCTCGAACCCTTCTTGGTGGCAGTGACTGGCTCATCATCGTCAATGTCCAAAGCATCAAAATCGAAGTTATCTTGATCCGCTTCAGACTCCTCTTCAGATTCTTCATCCAGTAGCTCTTCTTCGTCCGAGTCAACCACGAAGTTCTTCGGCTGTTTCATGAGGCGCCCATTCCTATCACGCTGTCGTGCACCGGCTCGCTTCGCATTGTTTCGCTTCTTTTCGGAAGTGTGTCTCCGAATTGCAGCATCGTCGGAATGGTATGGGTGCACAGTAGAAGCACCCCCGAGATGAGCTACCAGGTTCTGGAAATCTTGAGGATATAGCCAGCTCGAATCATTGTTCTTTACGCAATACTGCACACAGCGTGTGAGATCTAGCGCATCATGTCCTGATGGCATGATCTTGACCCCGTTTGCCATATCGCGAAACGGAATGCTAGGAGGGGGTTGGGTCGCCGCTACAGCCCTTTCACGAGAGTTGAAGTTGTAGGGTGCGGCAAAGCGTGCTACGCTGACACTGGTGTGATTAAATCCAGCAGGTTTCGGTAAAGTCGGATGTTTGGCAACTGTCCAATTCTCGTAAGTCGGCTCGGTCTTCGCGCGATGAAGCATTGGTCCTTTCATCATCCGATATATCGTATTGTTCGTGATCGGACCGTACGGCATGTCTCGGTAATGGTTAATCATGTCAGCGAAGGTCCCAGACAGGGCGCCATTGTGGAGAAAACGGTCCATGATGTCGAAGGATTTGATGGCATGCGGAATGAAAGCAAGTGTTTCTGCCAAAGTTAGGTTGCCATGGGGAAGATCTAGCCAAGCCGAAGGCGCATCCTTCAATTTATCATATTTTGGGCTACCGGGGCCAGTGGATTTCCTTCCTTCGGGAATCGGTTTCCTTTTGACAATCTTACTGGAAGCAATGTCTTGGTTAGCGACAGGAATTGGGGATTCGTTTCCATTTCCAATGAAGGCAGGTTGGTCTTCTGGATAGTTTTGGTTGTCTTCTTCGTCACTTTCAGGCTGATCAAAGAGATGAGCTGTAGCGTACCCATCGTGGATTGCAACCTCAGCGTGTAGTGGATACCACTGGAGGTCTGCAGGGATATTTTCTTCTTCCCTGTATTCTACAGCAATCATGGGGTCGATAACGCGATCATTGAAGGCGGTTCTCGCCTTCCCAAGGCGGTGTTTGTTGTGGCCATCGATGATCTTGCACTCCTCACGCATTGATTGATGAAGCACCTTCATTTGATCAATACCCCGGGAGTTGCATTCCATCAGGCTCTCTTGATGCTGTGTTTGAAGCAGTTCGCGCACGTCTGGGAGGTTCGCGAAGAGATGGCCGGCATTTAATTGTGCTCGGTCGAGCATATCCTGGACTTCGTCCCGCGTGAATGTGATTGAAGACATAGTTTCAATGCAGCGTGAGTGTAGCGTAAGATAGTTGCTTCGGCTGTTCAGGGGTGAGACAGTTGAGTTGTGCTCACCAAGATCGAGATTCGTGAGACAATATTAAATCGAAAGAAGGGGAGTTTACCGTAGTAGGGTGAAAGTCCAGCAATTGCTGGCCAGTATTGTGTTCACTCGCCGTTCTATGTACTAAAGACACTGTGTATACAACAGGAAGACCGCACGTCTAGAGGAGTGTGTGGAGGCCGAGGCGACAAGGAAACAAAGACGTCGAGTCGAACATTGTTCGACTCTTTGTTTCAATGCTCGTAAGAAGACTCAAGACAAACTGATTCTGGTAATGCGACGAATGCAACCCGAGAACCGACATTGCCTAGACTCAAGATATATATCCCGGCCTGTCGATTGCTTCTCATCATCGTGTAGCATGAAGCAAAATCTCCAGCGCCAACGATGTAGACGGTTTGACGTGAGGTTCTGGCTCTTGAGCTGTGTTTCCAATGTAACAATCTTTATGACAGAAATGACTGCACTTTAATCATCTGCTGGCGGAATCGATACCTGAATGTCTGCGGACGACTTTAGATTGCTGGATGGCACATGTTTCTGCAAGCTCTGGATGTAACATGCGGTGGCCGTATCGGTCGGGAAACAGTTGGCCTTAAGAAAACAATAGTTGCAGTTCCCCATAGCATTCGTATCCTGGTCGATGCTGCAGTCGCTGATGCGATGCGATGCGATGCGATGAATGGGGTCACGGATGGGGTCGGCAGCGGCAGCACTTGAGGCCAACCCGTCGGGGAAGCCGCTTATCCGGTTCCGCTCTAGCGCCGCTTCCGTCCGGAGATTATTCCAAGGTTCTTCACTCTATCCGCGGCTTCCCCTCATTTCCTTGCGGCATCCGGGTCGGTGCATTACAGTACGACCAGTTCGCAGGGTCGTTCGGTACAATGATTGCCTGAAGATGCTCAGATCCCACTATATTGTTCCTGGCCCTGCCATTGTCGCATTTGGGCAATTCGCGGAGGACAGCCCTAAGCCCGCCTGAGCAGCAACTCCGCCCAGCCTGCTACGCCGCAACCTATGCATGTAGACGCAACGCGACAGAACCTGCTCGGCTTACCTCCACCGAAATAACGTATTTACTCACGAACAAAGTAAGCCCGCAGATGACGTTGTTACCCCTCGCCCAGAAATGCCATGGCAGGTCTAGTGCAGAACTGGCAGGTCAAGGCCACCACATCTTGGGGAAACGTCCCGATTACACCTCATCCATGATTAACCGGGCTCTTGGGCAACATCAATCATGTCACCGTGCGCACGTTGAGCTGCCAATGTCCATGGTCAGGGCTTGGAAGAACACGCTTTGTGCTTATCATGGTGCCAGCAAACTAAGATGCGCCCAGGTGAGGAAGATGGTCAGCTATATAAGGCCCATCTTCTACAATCTTGAATACCTCACGCTCGTCAATTGATCGCTTCCGTGGCGGAACAACATCATGAAGTTCGTACTCAGCCTTGCCTGGCTATCCCTCGTTGCAGGTGCGACCATCCGCAGCCCACAGCCTCGTACATATGATGGGTACCAAGTCCATCGCGTTCGAGCTACTGGATCCCAATATGCTGCAGCAAAGCGAGCTCTTGCTGCTGTTCCTCACGAGACTTTAAACGAGATTCGTGGAAACCTGGATGTTCTTATTGCACCCGGGCAGTTGGACGCCTTCAAGGCTTTGGGACTCAAGTCCCGAACCTTGCATGAGAACCTAGCCGACTCTATCGCCCGGGAGTCGCATGTCAAGAAGGCCTGGAAGAGGCAAACTAACGGTTCAGAAGATGCGTGGTTTGATAGCTACCACCCGTATGAAGACGTAGGTGATGTATCACTGCTCTTCCATGCAGAGTTGACTGACCATTGTTAGCACATTACTTGGTGGCGCGATCTACAGGAGTCGTTCCCAGACAATTCCAATTGGACGAGCACCGGAACGTCTTTCGAGGGGCGCGACATGTTCGGCGTTCATCTCTATGGAAAAGATGGCCCAGGAAAGCCTGCGGTCATCTACCACGGAACTGTTCACGCTCGTGAATGGATCACTGCTATGACCATCGAGTATATCGCCAAGGCCCTCACCTACGAATACAAGGCAGGCAACAACTACACGCAAGCCATTCTGGATAACTACGACATCTACATGTTTCCCTTTGTCAACCCCGATGGTATGTCACATCACCAAGGATAGATCCACAGATTGTTGCTTATACATGCTAGGCTTCGTCTTTTCTCAAACAGACGACCGCCTATGGCGCAAGAACCGTATGCCGCCACCAGAGAACGCTGCCAACCAGACATGCTATGGTCGCGATGTGAACCGCAACTGGGAGACGTAAGCGAAGTTTCTGCCCTATGCGTATAGCGTCAACTGACATGTAATCTCAGGAACTGGGATGCTGACCCACGCGGAGCTTCAACAGACCCATGCTCGCAGACATACAGGGGAGAAGCGCCCCGCGACACGCCTGAGAACCTGGGAATGGACAACCTGATCCGCAAGATCCGCGATGAGCAAGGCATCAAGCTATACATTGACTGGCACAGCTACTCCCAGCTGATCCTGTACCCATTCGGCCACAAGGAGACTCTCTACGCGCCAGAGCTCGGCATGTGGACCAAGGCAGCTGCCCTGATGAGCGAGAACATTGCCTACTACTCGACCAATGCGACCACCTACACCTACGGCCCTAGTGGAGCAACCTTGTACCCGACAACCGGTGCGTCTATCGACCATGTGTACACCATCGGTCGTGCCAAGTTCTCCATGACCATCGAATTGCCCGATACTGGTGACTTTGGCTTCGTCTTGCCTCCGGAGAGGATCAGGCCTGCAGCTGAGGAACAGTGGGTGGGCCAACAGGTATTGCTCAGCCTGTTGGATGAGGAGTTCTTCGATGGCGAAGGCCCAGCGATTGGCGCATTGGGCACTACATGGTAGACACGTGTACGTGTTAGTTCAGTTTTGTAAGATCGACGCTGCTAGAGACTGCTGTCTATCAACATTGGCTCGTAATAGCAAGTCAAGACGGCATTGTCGTCTGTCAACTCTACATTCGTCTTTGTTTCTAAGTCCTCTGCTCACAACTTGATATACTATCGCACACTCTATTCCATGCATTCTCTCAAACGACTGGAAGAGCGTATTTCCTCTCATGCCTTGTCGCCGTCACCTCCACTTCCACGCGGCTAGCGCTCACAACGACGCGTCCGTGCGCAAGAAGTGAAGGTGAAGCCAGCACCTCTCGTCATCCTCATCTTCCCCATTTGGCATATTGATATCATCGCTCTTATCACCACTCCTCCTCCTCGCTGCAACGCTAGACAAGGGCTTTTGACTTCAACTCGCCCAGCATGCTTTCTTCCACCGATCCGCACTTTACTACTGCAAGTACGCAATCGCCAGAAACCATGGGACATACTTGGCGTACGCCCTCTCCCACCAGGGAGGCCTATATCAGCTCCAGTGAGTTTATCTGCTTGATTGATCGGGCGCGAGCCGGACACTAACACGTAGACAGGCAACGTGAACTCGCCGCAGGTTTTACCTCAAGTTCACGACGATCTTCATTATGAGCAAGCAAGCTATCAGCAACGCGTTGACGGTCGCGCTTCCGCTATTGCGGCGGTAGAGACTGCAAAGTACAGCCGACGCCGCGACGCAGCATTGTCACGTCTCTATAACGTCTTTGATGGCAAGAGCGACTCAGGCGACCAGAAGCCATACAGTCAGACTGTTAGCGCCAGCAGCGAGGATGGAGGTGTAGCACAGCCTGAGCAGCCATCCACTCCAAAGAAGAACCGCGTACCGATCCTTTGGCATGGACTACCATCCCCAGAAACGCCGACATTTCGCAACTATACACGAGCGATCCCTTCAGCTAGCTCTGCGCAAGAGGAGCTATCATGGCAGACTTCCCTCGAGGAGACCAAGAGCGACATTGAAACCGCCCTAGTGACGGCAAATCACACTACCAACAAGTTCTCGGTACCGGCGCAGTCTCCTATTGACAACGACAAGGCGAACGACGGTTTGAAGCCTATAATCTCCGCTGATGCGAGACTGGCTCGCGAACTTGAAGAGTCTCTGAACCCGACGGTCACGCGTCGCAGTACTAGATTGCGCGCACAGCCCAAGCCATCATGTAAGTACTGCTTTCCTAATGATATCAGTGCATTTGCTAACCGCTTTCCTTCATTCAAGACAATATTCAAGTACCAATCGCAGCGCCCAAGACTCTTCGCAAATTGTTGCCCGCGACGAAACCAACGGAGTCTTCGGCACATCCAGAGTTCAGCTTCAGCACTGAGCCTATCAAGGCCGACCCGGTTCCCTTCGAAGGCCTGCCAACCGTCTATTCACTGTCGTGGCAGTTGCAATATCCACCGGGTGGCAGCACGCACCCTTGCTACCCGTATCCCTCTCTGGACCCTCGTCTGCTCTTCCACCAAGCCTTCGTCCCAATCATCGGCGGCTTACCCGACTTCACCTTAGTTCAGAAGCTCGTGCTTCCAATGGGGTGGAAGCATGTCTCATGGTCTGGTCTCCTGCCCATCGCCTTCGATCCGTATCGTCAAGCGTTTAAGCTCACACCGGTGGGGCCAATGCCGCTTACGTGCGAAGAACTTCATCAACAAGGCTTGCACAAGTATGTACCAGGTGGCGAACTACACCCTGAGTACGGACTGGTGCCCGATATGCTAAAACTCAGCGACGGAAGTAACACCGATGTCTTCGATTTCGACGGTGTTGATTGGGTCTTGCCGTGGAAGGGTCAAATCGATTTCCACGCCCCTTCCAATGCTACAGACGAGCAGCTCGGCAGCTATGAGCCTACCAGCCCCGTTGGCTCCGACACTTTTGCGCCCATTGTCAACTTTCCATGGAGCGAAGCGCGTGACTGTCCGGACAAGGTCTTCGATCTCTGCGATGCGTGGCGTTGGCTATCATCCAAAGAGACCAACCCTGACGCGGACTTCATTCCCACACCTGGTATGAACTGGCGAGGGACTGGCGCAATGCGCTCACAACGTAGACTTAAGTCACCCATTCCCGAGCTGATGATGCTTGCCATGCCTGATCCGACTACATCGGAAAACAAGCATATTGTGTTGCTTCAGAACCAAGATCAGGGCGTCAAGGATAAGAACCACCAGTTTTGTCCATTCAAGAGTGTCGCGACATCCGTCATGGCCGACATAACCCTCCTTGACGACACCGAGTTCACGATCATGGAGCTACTGTCGTACTTTCCTCAACACTACTACTGGGGTCATGCAGCTGAGCGATTGACAAGGGCGGGCGTGACTGGGACTCTGATACGGGATTTCCTTATCATGACGCGAGGGCTTCAGGGCGATGAGATCATGATGGCAAACAGTATTGCACAGGCAGCTAAGGTTGCCAAGAAGAGAGATTGCGTCAAGGTCGAAGAGATGGACATTGATGAAGTCGGGAAGGATACACCATCACCTACACCCGCTCCTGTCATCGATTCCACAGTTGTCGACCTGACTTCGAGCTATACTGCTGAAGGGTGGATCTACGATGTATGGGAGAAGATCGACTACCCGCTTCTTGCCCTTGCCCATGGCTTGCAGTCGTTGCCTACAGGTGTTGATGCCGGTCCGCTGACTGCACTCATACTTTGGTGCCGAGAGAAAGGTCGGTACAAAGCTATGCTTAGCGAAATCCCTGCGCTGTTGAAGGAGGCAAATATTGAGCCGCTGATCGAGCCTGGCGAGAATGGCTGTCCAGATAAGGAAGTCGCAGGCAGACATGCTGGGGCATTAAAGAAGGACCGACTAAGGGTGGTTAGAGATGCGGGTGTTAGCAAGAGGGCACTGGATGGTAGTGTTGGTGGGACTCAAGGAAAGAGAAAGAGGGCTGAGTAGTGTCACCAGGAACCTCGTATGACAGGAAGATGTGCTGCGAAAGATTCGGGGATGATAGGGCTTTGGGAAGTCTTTCGGGAAGTATATGCATGAGTAAATTCCGTGCATCATTGGCGAGGCGTGATAAGTATGGCAATCGACTCAGTTGCTTCCCTACCAATATCCCATCGATAATTTAGATCACCTCTTTGCATCGCTGTCTAGTGCATCGGAATGCCCGGCAGCGGCCCAAGTCCACACTACGTCTCGTCAGCATACCCCCTTCCCTTTCAGACTCATACTTACAGCAGGCGCCGGCGACGGGCATCCACCATTGGAGCTCATGTAGCAGCCCATCTCAGCAGCATGCTTCATCAAGCACTTCTCATTCGTGCTGAGCAAGTTCATCGGCACAACCGGCATAGCGCATTTACATGGTTCTTTGAACGTCGGTGTCGGTTCTTTGTGCCTGTGGCTATGCGTGCGGTTGTGTTTGCGCGTTCCGCTGGGTGCAGGAGCGATGCTGGCTTGTGGTGCAGCCCACGGGTAAGGTGTTGCAAGAGCGGCAGTGGCGAAGAGAATAGTTGTGATGAGCGTTGAGATGTACATCGTGAGCGGTTGGGAACTTGGGTATGCGTTGCAGCAAATTGGGTGTGAAGTGCTGTGAGATGCGGATAGCCAAGCTTCCAGGATTCTCTGCAGACGATCTGAATCTTGTAGGAACCGTGAGCGCCACGCGGCAGAGGGCTTCTTCTACCGAGAATTCGCGATCCAGTACGCGGCGCAATATAGGTTGATGAAGTTCCATCTAATCATGCAGCGCCCTCGTCCAGTGATGCGCCGCCGGTTAAACACCCATATTTGGATACGGGAGTGCGACAGCGCCGATGGACAATGAGGGTTTGTCGTTGCTCTTCCATGCTGATTTTCTATACAGGTGCGAATATCTGTATGTCGAGGATCTAGCGGATGTCTTGTTTCGCTTGACACTCGGCGGCGTTCTCGGAGAGGAATGAACGATCCAGTATATTCTGGATTCGCTAGTCGTGATGCCTCCCTGTACTCACTGAATTGCTACCATCTCTTCATTATTGCCATTATTTTCCTCGTCAGCTTCAAGCTCATCAGATGTGAACTCATGATCCTGACCATAGGACCTGAAGCCCGCAGAACCAAAAGATGCGTCGTCGGAAGCTATTCAACAAGCTGGTTCAGAGGGGTCAGAACGGCCATGCCACTTCGAAGTATGGCGCTGTAACTCAGTACTTCCATTACAGTTCGGAGTATGTGGAATTTCGGATGTGTATCAACAGTCGCCCACTGTTATCCGCGTTGATGGCTCTGAGCGCAGTGTCGGAAGCTTGACGCGTCGCGCGAGCTCATGCCGCAATTTAGCGTGTCTTTGGCCTCTTCAGGCTCCAGGGCTCCAGCCATCTCATTTGGAGCATCCACTTCGCGGCCAGAACGCGCCACCCTCGTAGTCAGAATTGACAAAGTTTCTACATGTGCCGTGCTTTTGGTACTGACGATGAGAGACCAATTTCACAGTTCCAGCTCCAAGATCGAAGACGCCATTCAGCAGTCGGGCCCGCAGATCCCACTTTCGTGGGCAACCCGCACTGGAATGAATTTTTTTTGGATGTCGCGAGAAGTATATCATACGCATAGGTGATTAAAAGCAGTGACTACAATACATGCATACCTAAAAAACAAAGAGGGGAAATACCGAATCAAACTTACCACCCTCCATCAATTCAACGTCGACTCGAGATTTTTCATCTCCCGTTGCAACCTCCCGTCATCCCTCAGATAGGTGAGTACATAAACCTCCTTTGCTGGAGGAGATATTCTCGCCACCTGTGGGCTTGCTTCAAATTGAGCTTGTGTAAAAGTCTCCGTTACAGAATCAGAGATACAAGTAATGCGGTCGCCTGGGCCGCGAACACTCGCGATGTAGTGTCCGCCTGCGGTCTCTGTTCCTTCGCCAGAGTGAGAGATGACACTAGATAGCCGGTAGCGGAGGGGAAGATGAGCATTCTCTTGATATTGAGTTAGGTCGAGTATGTTGGGGTGAGCCATGCGGTGGTTGATCTTGTGTTCTGTAGCAGGCTGCGGATTGCCGTGTTTGTCTTTCTTTTCCGACTTTTTCATTTGGAAGATGGCGAGTTTGATCTTAAGAATTTGAGGGCCAGCTTGAATTCTGGTCGTGACCAGTTGGTTAGTATTACTTGCACATATGGCGCAGTGCATTGTTCTTTGCTCTTGGAAGAATCTCGACAACGCTGCGTTGAAAGTTGTTGTCGCTGTGGGGACATTTAGAAGGATGCCTGTTTCTGGAATCCGCGCGATGAGTCTTTCGTGACCACATCCTTTACAACGACCGTGCTCTTGTCTGTCGAGCTGGAATAGTGCGCGGAAGTCCTCTTCCCACTCTTGTGTCCTAGAACTGGTGAGTATGTATATTGGCAAAGTACGAATGGGCGTTTACTCACGCACTGGCGACTTGCAAGCGTTGCAGAATCACCTGATAAAAGTCGTTAGAGTCCAGCTGAACTAGATCCTGGCCGTTGGCGGCCAACTGCGCGACATCCCCAGCCAATGCGATTCCTTGTATTCTTGGCATGTTGGGGGCGACTGTGGCGTTGGGAGTGTTAGCCCAATAATTGTTGACCAGGTCTCTCATCATGCATCCAGTACAATCTGGCACCACATTACTGGCAGCTGCTCCCAAATACGGTGGAGGGTTTGCATGACAGGCATTACGTATGTTACTGCCACCAGTGCCTCGTCTGACCGGGCGATCATGGTTCTGAAGCCAGTTCAGTAACTGGGGCTGATGCATCAGGGCCTGGAGCGCGGCGTTGATGTAGCACCAGTTGGTACCAGTTGTGAAGCCTCTGCTTCTCTGTGGCCTAGCACGCCCACGCAAAAGCCATCTCTTACTTATACGTGCAGCCTAAGAGATGATCAGTAAGAACAATCAAGCTCGAGAACGAACATACTATGCGGTCCCGATTCTCCTGCAAGTCCGAACGAAGGCTAACACTCGCGTTAGCTGGAGTACCGGTTATAGCCGCCGGGATACGGGCGCTTCGTCGACTGCCCGTTGGGGCTCTATATACCCTAGGAGTGGCCATCTTGGATGCGGAATTTCTGTAAGAGTAGCTGAATTGACCCGAAGTTTGGAAAAGAAGACGGTAGTGTTCACAAAGTACTGGCATCAATATCGGGGAACTGCGAGTTTAAAAGCCACAAGATGACAGCAACAAAGGAACAATGGATGCGACGTCAACCGCCATTGTCCTCTTGCCATCGTTTGACATGGACCCAAAGAAAGGCGGAAGCAGGCACTATGAATGCGATGTGACATGCCCTGTAGTTGCCACAAGTCTGAAGTTATCGAATTCAGCAGGATGGCGTCAAGGACGAATACAGCGCGTAGCCTAGATTTTGAGAACTTGAGTATCAGCCTACGTTTAAGTTCATGAGAAGAAGAGCCACCAGAACGCTCAAAGCCTTAGGTTAGAACATCTGAAGAGAAATTTTCTTTTCATCAGGACAGAGAAGAAAAAAAAGGATGCGTATCATGCAAGCTCTTCAGCACCATCGTGTTCTGGGGCAGGTGTTTGTTACCCAGGTATTTTGCCAGGCATAGTTGTCAGGTTTCCATATCTGCCAGGTAGTTAGGAATATTATCAACGCTGAGTCTTCACGCGAGACGTTCTCATGACATCGTGAGAGGATGTAAGAGTAGAGCATGAAAGACGGAGCGCTCGAGACGCACACTCGCATGCCCACATAGCGTCTTGGCACCCCCTCCATCCCCCATTGGCCGTTTCCCCATCCATCACCACTGCACACACATCAGCCCTCCCTGCAGTCACATCTCCACTCACCCATCGATGCAATAACCAATATGGCGACCTCAGAATCCCAAGGCGCAACCTACGAAGCCGAGCACGTACACTCAGTCTACGAAGAAATTGCATCTCACTTTTCTTCCACTCGCTACAAGGTGTGCGTCCACCCGTCACAAATATTCCAAACCAGCATGCATGACTAACGCGAATGCTAGCCTTGGCCCATAGTCGAGCGTTTCCTGAAAGAACAAAATGACGGCGCTATAGGTGCAGATGTAGGATGTGGGAACGGGAAGTATTTGGCTGTTAATAAGAAGGTGTGGATTGTGGGTAGTGATCGGTATGTTCTATTTTATTGTTCACCACATTAACTATTCTACGACTAGTTATAGCTTTTGGTCTTGGAAGTTAATGTCGATACAGATCTACAAACCTTGTCAAGATTGCGAAACAACATGAACCGCACGACATAGTCGTAGCAGACAATCTCTCGCTACCTCATCCCAATGGGGTTTTTGATTTCGCTATTTCAATAGCGGTTATTCATCATTTGTCGACACCGGCACGGAGGGTGGAGGCTGTGAAGTGTGTTTTGGATTTACTGCGGCCTTCGTCACCGTCGAGTCAGAATGGAGATGCTGGCCTGGAGGGTGGCAGAGCACTTATCTATTGCTGGGCACTTGAACAGAAAGACAGTAGAAGAGGATGGGACGAGGGTCACGAGCAGGATGTCATGGTGCCGTGGGTCTTGAAGCAGAAAAAAGAGAAGGAGAAGGGGCGGAGGAAGAAAAAGGACGAGAGCCAGGCTGACGAGGATGAGGCGCCGAAGCCGGATGGTGACAAGACGTTCTTGAGATACTATCATTTGTACCGGAAAGGGGAGCTGGAGGGAGATATTGAGCAGGCTGGTGGAGTTGTGCTGGAGTCGGGGTATGAGAAGGATAATTGGTGGGCTATTGCGAGACTCAGATGAGCATCTCGATAGTAATTACTTGTGCTATACTTCATACGTGAGCGTGCAGCACATCTAAGTGTGGTCTACTGCTTGCAGCCTGGTGAGTTCCAACTGCGCATGGTGATCTTACGCCTTCGTCAAGTCTACAGGCAGGGCGTGACTGCTCTCAGTCAGCGGAAAGAGCTGATAATAGAAGCCCAGAGCGCCTGCTACAAGCACAATATAATAGGCCACGGTCCATCCAACACCCCTGCCCTGATTCAGTGGGACGTTCTTCTGCTCGTCATCCTTCTTGTCAACGTCTGGTGGTCCGATGGGACTGCCGGCTTCGACACCCACACGGCCGTAGAACCGCGGAAGGCCCATCCAGTTGCAAAAGGTATGCGCTATCATGCACGTGTAGACATTTCCGGTTCTTATGAAGACAAAGGCTGCGAAGAAACCGAAGAGCGATGTGTATGTGAACTGGAAGAGTGAGCGGAGCACGGCGACGAAGAACGGGACTTCGGAGTGGGTTATGCGAAACTCGTAGAGGTGGTGGAGATGCGCGATGCCGAAGTACAGTGGCGTGAGGAAGACGATCTGCTTGCCAGAGAACTGCGCGAGGACATGGAGGGGGATGATTAACGAGCGCCACACGACTTCTTCACTAACGGGGCCCTGGGCAGGTTAGAATAGGAAGGGGTGGACTAGAGTAGAGGACCTACGACTATGTAGTTCCTGTAGCCGATCCAGCTGCTCAGGGTCTCGTGGACGCCCTTTAGTTTGATCCAGTCTCTCCAGTCACCGTCTACAATGCCATGCTCGAAGATGGGACCCGCGAAGAGGATGGTCACCAGAAGCATGGTCCGGATGGTATCTACAAGTGAAACAGGCCAGATGCCAAGCAAGCAGATGATCTCCATGGTCGATGCGTCATGTTGGTACAATACGACGATGGTGAGGACGGAGCATAGGAGGGTGGAAAAGGTCACTGCGCGCACCCGGGCGCGTATCGACGACGGCGCATCGCGCGTAAGAGTCGGAGAGGGTCGCGTGGCGGGCGACAGGTAGAAGGGGATTACGTAGATGAAGACATAGGCGGCCTGCGAGCGTGGGTGTTAGCTACTTCAGCATATTTGGCGCGTGCGGTGCCATTGGGTGAGAACAATGGCAATGGTGGTGGGGAGCAAACATGAAACGTACCGACAGAAGCGCCGCAACTCTCGACGAAAGAACAGGCGGTTTGGGAACTGGCACCACGTTAGACCTCATGGCGATGTTTCGACAGGAAAGCGCAACAGAGTTCGTCCGATGTGGGTCGCGCAGGCGTTTAAGAGGGTTTGAGGTGGAGGAGCGCCAACTTACCGCCCTTGACATGTCGCTGGTACAGCTCTTCGAGCGCACTGAGCTTGTCGCGCCAGCCGGTGAGGGGTGGAGGCATGGCGAGGTGTTGCAAAAAAGCAGCCGCACGTCAAACGCACTACAGGAGAGGCAGGAAAAGAATCATGGGCGTTGTTTATAGCTGCACGAGATCCCCCCGCGTTGTCGCGCGCATCTTGTCGGCGCAGCGCAGCCTTTCACCTTCGATACCCCGCCAAGCCCCATCGGTCACGCTGGATCACGTGCCCCGATCGTCCGTTCCCTCGTCTCGGCTCCTGCGACTCGCGCCATCAGCGCCCACGACGTCTTAGCACGCCCTCCCGCGTTACCCCTGCAGCACGCACAACCAAAGGCCCACTGGCCAGCCTCTCTGCCATTCAACGGCTAGTCCGCCACGCTGCGCGTCGTCACTGGCCCGTCCCAAAATATAATTTCATTTTAAACGTTCAACCGCGACGCGCTTCTCCCGATTCACTAGGAAGGCTGTTCGACGAGGGTTCCCCAGGCGCGTCGCAGTCATCGCACTCCCAGGTGGACCGCGCATCCAGCAGCTCATATCATCTTGTCGACCGGTATAGGCTAGGCGAAAGTCATATTGTGCGAATTGGGTCCATCTCTGTACAAGTCATCATAAGTCGCGGGTCGTGCTCCAGACTGGCCGGGGCTGAGCTGTCAATTGGATCGCTCCTGCAGCGCGAACCTGCTTCTGCATACAGCCACGAACCCTCTTTAGGCCGAGCTGCTGCCAGACGCCCGCCGTCCTCACCTCACCACCACTCCTCGTCCTCCCTCCCTCGATTCTTCATACCGTTAATGCCTGCGGGCCGCCATTCTTTTTGATATGTTTTAGCACTTTTGTCACTCTTTGACTATCTTCACATACTGTCTTTACGTCCTCTTTTTACTGTCTTTTTACCCACACCCCGTCATTAATGATCGGTTTCGACTTTCTCCGCACGCGTTTACAACCAGTCCACATCTCGGCATCCTCGGCCCACACCACCACCACACCATGTCCTCACAACAACGCAACAGTCGCGCAGACTCACAAAACGCACTCGAAAAAACACTCGCACAAGGTCCTCGATTTGACCCGCCGCAGTCGCAGTCAACAAACACGTCTCCTATCCGCAAACCGCTTCACGAACGCTCAAACTCGCAAACTAACCGCGACTCTGGGTCAACCATCCGCATTGTTCAAGATCCCGGACATGACATCTATCAGAAATATCCCGTACCCAGCGAACCCTCGCAAATCCTGCCCCCGCCCCGTCATGCGCCGGGTTATGGCTTTGAAAGGCCGGGATCTCGTGTTTCAAATAGCAGCCAGGTCGCCAGTACCATCGCAAAGTTCGAGGCGAGCCGAGCGCGAACACCACAGCCTATCCTGTCACGGAAGAAGGGTTTCAGACATTCGGGCTCCACTAGCATGTCAGAGGAAGATAC